AGGGTGGGGGGGGGGTGTGTGTGTGTGTGTGTGTGTGTGTGTGTGTGTGTGTGTGTGTGTGTGTGTGTGTGTGTGTGTGTGCGTGTGTGAATGGAAGAAGAGTGGTTTTGTTCTGTAACTCCTCCCCTCACACACACACACACACACACACACACACACACACACACACACTCACACACACTCACACACACTCACACACACGCGCATTGACGCATGTTGCTGCCCTTGCGATCAGGGTTGCCTTTGGCGCATATGTGTTGGTGGCGTCAGTGGAAGGATCAACACCATGCCATCAGACAAGTCGGGAAGCACCCTGACAGCCGAAAAATCAGGATCGGGCGATGGCACGCCAGCCACCCCACAACCATCTTCCAACACAGCACCAACACCATCCACCGCACGCAGAAAACGAAGGGTGAGAGAGAGAGAGAGCATGTGTGTCTGTGTTCCTGTGTGTGTCTGTGTGTGTGTGTGTGTATGTTCCTGTGTGTGTCTGTGTTCCTGTGTGTGCCTGTGTGTACCTCCCTGTGTGTGTGTGTGTGTGTGTGTGTGTGTTCCTGTGTGTGTCTCTGTGTGTACCTCTGTGTGTGTGTATTTGAGAGAGAGAGAGAGTGTGTGTGTGTGTGTGTGTGTGCATCCCCCTCCCTTCCGCCCCCCCCCCTCTCTGCTGCAGTTGCAGGCATGAGAGCAACCTCCCCCTCCGACACCCACCCACCACACACACACACACACATTGTGTCCTTTTCGTCGCAGTTTCTGTTCTTTCGGCTCGGCGATGAGCTGATAGGCCACAAGCCAAAGAAGAAGCTGCCATTCCGGCTGCTTCGGCGGTCTACGGCGTCATCCCCGGCCAAGGCAGGAGGCCTGGGCACGGTGGGCGAAGCAGGCGGTACCAGCGATCCAGCACAGGCAGCGGCGCCATCATCGTCGTCATCGTCGTCGCCACCACCATCGTCTGGCAAGCTGAGCCGGCGGGAACGCAAGGAACGCAAGAGCAAGAGGAAAGAAAAGAAGAAGAAGGACAAGGCCAAGGACAAGGACAAAGATGAGCGCAACAAACAGCAGTCACCGCCAGCATTAGCGCTGGATGACGCACAGCAGCCAAGCACTACGGACTCACAAAAGAGCGCATTTGCCAGCACACATATCACCACCCAACAGCAGCAACAGCAGCAGCCGGAGCATGGTGGCGAAGGCGCTGATGGCGCGAGTCAGACGTCATCATCTTGCGCGTCGTCTGCATCCGCACCACGAACACCGACAACACCCCGCCGGTCCACCACGAGTGACGTGCTGCTGGACACGGCTGGAGACGCCGCCCTGCCCACGTCACCGCAGCACCTCGGCCCAATCCCGCGCCCATCCGGTCAGCAGCCGTGTTGCTTTGTTTGCGGAGGGTGTGTCTGTCTGTGTTTGTGTCTGCGTCTGTGTCTGTCTGTGTTTGAGTCTGTCTGTCTATCTGTGTCTGTGTCTTTATGAATGTGTGCTGTGTAGTTCTGTTGTGTTGAGTCTGTCATTCTGCGTGAATGCCTCCATATGTCTGTCTGTCCCTCTGTCTGTTTGTGCCTGTCTGCCTTCTCGCATGCCTCACTGCCAACCTTCACCCATCCAACTCACGTGTCCCCTCACCAACGCCGCCCAACATTTATTTCAAACAGGCCTGTCGCGGGAGCTGTCGATATCGGGAGCCATGTCCTCTGCGGCGGTTGCGGGCGTGACAGCAACTGCATTTGACCGCGCCGCTGCCCGCTCCATGCGCATGTCCCGCCACCGCCACCGCCGCCCCAGCATCTTCGATGAGCCCATCACACACGTTGTCTCTGGCACGGTCACCGTCCGGCGCGCATCCATATTCGACCCCTCGCCCTCACCCACCGACGCCACCACCCACGATCAACACGCCATCATCAATGGTGATGGTGGTGCGTGGGGCCGTGCGCGCCCGTCTGTGCTACGGCGAGCGGGGGGACTGGTGCGTTCCACGTCAGCCAGCGACCTCTTCACCAGCACGAAGAGCAAGCACGCGAGTGGTGATGGCGGCGGCGGTGATGGTGAGGAAGAGAAGATGGAAGAGCAGCGTGGAGAGGAGGATGCGGGTGAGAGCGAGGGCAAGGGTGCCCCTGGTACAGGTGAGCGAACACAAAACAAAGAGGGAGAAGGGAGCGAGCACGAGGACGATGTTGCGGCGCTGTTGACACCGGTTGAGAGCCAGCGCCCAAAGAGCGAACAGGTCTTCACCCCAGAGGCAATGGTGCGTGCACGCAAACAGCCCGGCTCTTACCGTACATGTGTGTGTGTGCGTGCGTGTATGTGTGTGTGTGCGTGGAGTATGTGTATGTGTGTGTGTGTGTGTGTGCGTGCGTGTGTGTGTGTGTGTGTGTGTGTGCGTGCGTGTGTGTGTGTGTGTGTGTGTGTGTGTGTGTGTGTGTGTGTGTGTGTGTGTGTGTGTGTGTGTGTGTGTGTGTGTGTGGCTTGAGCCCAAGTTCAACGTATTCAGTACATCTGTTTGTGCGTCCAATTCATGTTCCAGCTCACATTTGTCACCACCACCACCAACCACCACCGCAACTGCTTATGCACTATCAAGGGAGAGGGCCCAGCGTTTTCGCTGGAGTTCTCATGCGATCAGCAGCAGCAGGAGGAGAAGGGGAAGGAGAAGAAGGAAGAGGGCAACGGAGTTGATGAGGAGAAGGGGAAGGAGGTGGTGAAGCAGCAAGAGATGAACGACAACGAGCAAGATAACGGCCAACACGAAGAAGAGCGAGAGGAGGAGGAGGAGGAGGCGCCTGTGCTGGACGATCCGTCCACAGAGGAACGACATGCGGCTGCTCGCTCGTTCAGGTGCGATGGTGATGGTGGTGTTGGTGGTGATGGTAGCCGTGGTGGCGGTTGTGGTGACACGCGATTTGGTGGCCCCTTTGATGCTCGCTCACATGACGGGTGGACGATACTGTCTGATCTTGGGCACTGGTTTGCTTGCAGGCATTCTTGGCACGGTCGCACCGCGTTTGACGAAACACAAGGTGTGTGTGTGTGTGTGTGTGTCTGTGTGTCTGTGTGTCTGTGTCTGTGTGTCTGTGTCTGTGTGTCTGTGTGTGTGTGTGTGTGTGTGTGTGTGTGTGTGTGTCTGCATGTCTGTCTGTGTGTGTGTGTGTGTGTTTGTACAACCCACGCCACTCACTCACATACATACGCACTCCTCTCCCCCCCCCCCTTCTTCACTCCCGCGTCCCCCGTGCGCAGATGAGGCTGACGTGGACGAGCTGCCGTCCTCAGTGTTCCGCATCACCGACCTGGAAGTAGGCCGCGTGCTGGGAAAGGTGAGGCAGAGCATGTGTGTTTCTGTGTGTGTATGTGTATGTGTGTGTGTATGTCTGTCTGTCTGTGTGTGCATGTGTGTTTGTGAGCAGTGCATTCATTATCATTCAATGGCCACAGCCAAAGCAACTCACCCATACTGCCGGCTGTGTTTGCACATATGTGTGTGTCAGGGGTTCTATGGCCGCGTGCTGCAGTGCACACACAAATACACCGGCGAAACCGTGGTGGTCAAGGAGCTGATTCGCACGTACGTGTGACTCCGGACCACGTGGTGGTGGGCGCGCATGTGCCCAGTGTTTGCCCACTTCTGTAGAGACGTGATGATTCTCATGGTCCATTCATTCACACACGCACGCACGCACACAAACATACGCACGCACGCACGCACGCACACATGCACCGCAGGGACTCTGAGGCAAAGGCGCTGTTTGTGCAGGAGATGAGTCTGCTGAAGAAATTGAAGCACAGGAACGTGCTCAGGTTCATTGGCATCTTCTACAGCAACGACAAGGTGCCAGTACCATCGCATTGTAGTACATTGCATGAGCAGAAAGAAGCGGGGGTGGGGTTAACGTCGTGAGATTTCGTTTCACGGTACTTGTTTCACGATACTTGTTTCCCTGGACTCAATTGTTGTCCAGTGTTCCTCGCTCACGTCATGCCATGTTCCCCTCTTCCACCGCCATGGCAGCTGCACCTGGTCACGGAGTATGTTGACAACGGGACGCTGCGCAACCACATTCTCAACGAGGCAGAGACACTCCCGTGGGATCTCAGGTGCACACACGCGTATATGGTCGTGATGTTGTGTGGGGGATGTGGGGGGTGTGTGTGTATGTGTGCGTATGTGTATGTGTGTGTGTGTTGGGGGTTGTATGTGTGTGTGTGTGTGTGTGTGTGTGTGTGTGTGTGTGTTGGAGGTGGTGTGCTGGGGTGGTGTTGTTGTGTGATTGTGTGATTGTGTGTGTATGCGTGTGTGAACTGACAACACATGAGGTGCAAGTCTCCATGTCGTGTGCACGCCATACTCACTGCAATCCACCTCATTCCTTTCCGTCCGTTTCGTGTCGGGTTGCAGGGTGCAGATGGTGCGCGATGTTGCGCTGGGAATGGAATATCTCCATGGCCAATCGTGCGTCTCCGCTGTTTTGCTTGCAGGCACACAACAGAGCAAGAGAGAGAACAAGAGAGTGTGTGTGTATGTGTGTGTGTGTGTGTGTGCATCGGTGTTCCTTTGCCTCGATGATCTTCTGCCCTCACGCTGTACTGTGCCTGCGTGTGTTTAGCATCATCCATCGCGATTTGAAGACGGAGAACTGCCTTGTCCGCCACGACATGAGCATCGTCCTCTGCGACTTTGGACTCGCAAGAGTGATGAAAGGGGAAGTGTTCAAGGAACGGCGCTGTAAGTCACACGCTCGTGCTTCCCACCCACTTGAGCAATTGCCTTCATCCATCGCCCACCCAACCCCCAACTGCAATTTTCTTGTTTCCCTGCCCTTGCTTCTCGCACCCTGGCCTCACCCCACCCCCCCCCCCCCACCTCGCTCTGCACGCTACGTCGGCCATTCTTGTCTGCGTGTGTCCAGCGCTCGACCGCGGCCTTACCCACTCCATGCGCGTGCTCCCGGCCGTCTCCCCCGCCGCCCGCGCACACATGACCGTCGTCGGCACGCCAGACTGGTGCGTGAACACACACGCACACACGCATGTCGTTCGTTCATTGTGTGTGTCTGTGTGTGATTAGACTTGTACATAACCGCCACCTCACCTTGATCTTTTCTACTGCCTTGTCCGCGCTGGCAGGATGGCCCCGGAGATGATTATGAGCGGCGACTACAACCAGTCAGCAGACGTGTTCTCCTTTGGTGCGGTACCCCACCACACGCACGCTCGCAATGCAGACCACACACCCTCACACACGCACATGCACCACAATTACACGAGCACACATACACATACGTACTGACCACCCACCAACTCACATTGGGATGCTGTATCGTGTGACAGGGCTGATTGTGTGCTCGCTGATTGCGCGCATGGACCCTGACCCAGATCTCATCCGAACGCACACGTTTGGCCTCGACCACGCAAAGTTCAGGTCTGCGTGCGTGTGTGTTGGGGGGGGGGGTTGTTCGTTTGTGTGTGTGTTCGTTTGTGTGTGTGTGTGTGTGTGTGTGTGTGTGTGTGTGTGTGTGTGTGTGTGTGTGTGGGTGGGTGTTTCGTTGCCTCACTTGTTCGCACATACACACACACATCACACACACAAACGAACACACACACGCACACACATCACACACACGCGCGCACGCGCGCGCACACACACACACACATATCACACACACACACCTCCACCTCCCATGATTCACGCTGCGTGATTTGCTCACTGCCACGTTTGCTCCTTTCCTGCTGCCTTTGTCGCCGTGTTGACAGGAGCAAGTATGCCGGTGACAGCCCTGAAGAGCTGCTCCAGCTCGCGTTCCAGGCAACCGCGTTTGAACCAGAGGTAACAACACAACCACAACGCAAAAGAAATGAGGGAATGGTGTGCTTTGTTCGTGGCGCGTGCATGCGTACGATGGGTACGCGATGAATTGCAAATTGAGAATGGACGAAAGACCATGAACGAGTGTCACACACATTCACCCGCTGTCATTCATCACAACTCGTGCGCAATTCCTCACGACTCCTCACCATGACGCAACACATGACACACGCGTGCAGAATCGGCCGTCCTTCTCCGAGCTGAGTGCGCGGCTGTATCTGATTGATCTGCAGACAAGCTGTGCGCTGATGAATGAAGCAGACCAACAGCAGCACGCGCACCCCCACAACCACCACCATCACACCTTATCCTTACCAGACAACTCACGTGCACGCGCCTTCACCAACGCACAGTGACTTGCCAGCGTATGGCACAGGTTCTTTGTATGTATGCTCGTAATGCTGTAAGTGATTCACGATCTCTCTCTCTCTCTCTCTCTCTCTCTCTCTCTCTCTCTCTCTCTCTCTCTTCCAACAACAACAACAACAACAACAACAACAACAACAAAGACAAACAAACGAACAAACAAACGCTTTATTTGTGCATGGAATCCTTCCGGCTGTATATACCGTATACGACGCCATAAATTTTTGTTCAACTGGATTCAGTCGGTTGTGGACGTGGACAAGCCAAGCAAGCGAACAAGAAGCAAGGCGATATGACTGCCAACGAAGAAGAGCAGCAGCAGCAGCAGCAGGAAGAACAGCAGGCACCAAAGGAGCCACAGCAGTTTAAACGTATGAGAGTACATGCACCTGGCGTTGTGCTGGTTGTGATGACGGCTTGCTGTTTCGTTGTTGCTTGACGGCTGAATTTGTTTTGTGTGTGCGTGTCTGTGTGTGTGTGTGTGTGTGAGTGTCTGTGTGTGTGTGTGTGTGTGTGTGTGTGATCGGCTACTTCAAGCCCAATCGGCCATGCTCACGCTGTCGTGTTTGCTTGTATGTGTTCATGCAGTGCTTCCGTTCGTCGTTGGACTGCAACGACAGCATGGTCTGCGCCATGGCGACTTTCAGCGTTACAGGTGTGACGACATTGCAAGCCACTTACATGCAATATGTGTTGTTTTCGGTGGCTCATGACTCACATCCATCGCTCACATCCATCGCTCACATCCATCACCTCACCATCGCACGCACGCACACGCACACACGCACACACATACACACACACTCACACAACATCGCACGCACGCATTGGCAGGAAATTCTGTACGCGTCGCATGCACCGCGTGCGCAAGAACTTGAAGTTCACGCAGGGGAAGCGCAAGTTTGTGCAGACTCGCGTGGGTTTGAAGCAGGTGCAGAAGGCGGTCAACTTCCTGGAAATCCCCGTGCTATCGGCGGAGCGCGTAAGTCACAGTCCACTTGTTGCATGTCATCGCTAGTGAACAATAGATGGACACAAGGACAGCGTGTGCATCACACATGGCACGGCCTTTTTTTTTTTTTCACACTGCACGCCCACACACCGTTTCGCACAACACCACAACATACACCGGTTCATGTCTGCTTTCACAGGCGTGGGCTTACTTCCGCGAAGATAAACAAGTGAGTGTAGGAAGAGAATTAAATGATGTGCCTGAGTTATACGCTGTCGCATCGTGCTTCATCACGACGTCTGGAGCATCAGACGACGCGTGCTGGCGCTTCTGTATGTGCAACCACACCAACGTATACATCAAACTGACACACACACACGCTCACTGCCTCTACTACCATCGCCATCATGTCTGCAGCTGTCGAAGCAAGAGACGCGCAAGCTGCACCACGCGGGACGTCGCCTGCGTAAGGCCATCACGTGGGCGGACGAGGTTGTTCGCCTCGTCTCCAAGTCCAAAGCCTTTGACTCTCTCACCGCCCTCGAGGCCCAGGTGCTGCTTGTGTGCCTGCTGTTTGTCTGTGTGTCTTTGTGTGTGTGTGTGTGTGTGTGTGTGTGTGTGTGTGTGTGTGTGTGTGTGTGTGTGTGTGTGTGTGTGTGTTGTCATTGCTTCTCCTTCCACCTTCTCCTTCTGCTTATCTTCCAACCCTACAGCGCTAACACATTCACACTGCACACTACACACACACACACGCATCCCATCGCCGCTACCAACACCACCACACGGCGTCAGGCGTATGCGGACTGGCTGCATGCGCTCACTGCATTTGAGTCGAAGCAGTGGAAGGATGCCGAGTCGCTGTTTTCCCGCGCAAAGCAGACATACACGCAGCTCCTCAAGCTCGCTGCCTCAGATGAGGAGGAGAAAATCTACGAAAGGGTGCGCTGAGTGCATTTGTGTGTGTGTGTGTGTGTGTGTGTGTGTGTGTGTGTGTGTGTGTGTGTGTGTGTGCTGTTGGTACAACCTTGTGCAGCTGCCGCCACTCGTGCATCCCCACGCTTTCCACCTCACACAACACAACACGACACACCACCATGTACACGCCGCCGCTGGCAATATTGAGCAGAAGGTGCAGGAGCTTGATGCGAGTGCGCGCTACTGTCTGTACAATCTCGAAGGGACGGGCGACATCAAGTCGCTGCTTGAACTCCGCTCCGCCCTCGACACAGACGAGATGGACCTGCTCTCCGACCAGCTCGATGTACGCCGCAGCGAACATGCCCCATTGCTCCGTATCTGTCTGTGTTTGTCTGTGTATGTATCGTGGTGTGTGTGTTTGTGCGCTGTAGTGTGTGTCTGTGTGTCTTGACTGTCTGGCTGTGTGCCTGTGTGTCATTCTCTTTGTGTGTGGCGTGTGAATTCTCGGTGTGCGCTTCTCATCCTACCCGTGAACCCATGGGTGTGATATGCGATGCCTCACTATTTTCCCATGTGCTTCGCTATTGCCCCCTGACCACTTGCACGCGTTCAGTCTGCGCTGACGGCCAAACGACAGGAAGACGGCAACACCATCAAGGAGGTCTGCCCATACCTTTGCCCCCCCCCAACTCGCGTGTTGTAGATGTGTGTGTATGTGTGCATGTGCATGTGCATGTGCATGTGCATGTGCATGTGCATGTGGACGTATGTGTGTACGTGTACCTCGTGCCACCATCGCTGTCTCCCCGTCTTGTGCCCCCTTTTGTCCCTCATACCATCTGCACATGTGTCCATGTGCGTGTGTGCACAGCTTGAGTGGCTTGACCGCACAGTGCCGCTCAAGAGCTCGCGTCTTCGCGCACAAATCACCGCCGTGCACGCAAAGGCCGACGACATCAAGCAGCTGGTGCGCAGCCATGGCGGTGGTGGTGGTGGTGGTGGTGGTGGTGGTGACAGATGAGGGTGGTGGTGGTGGTGGTGACAGATGAGGGTGGTGGTGGTGATTGTGGCGATTAGGAGCGGTGACGATGCCGCTACTGATGGCAGGACGCACCCGTCATATGCGCATGATTCAACCCCCGTGCGCTCACATCCCTTGCCCTGTGTCCCCTTCCCCCTCCCCCCCCCCCCCCACCAATGACTGCCGTGGTGATGGTGCCGCGTGTGGTGCAGCCGAGCGACGAGGACGAGAAGACGATGATGGCGGCGTACGATGCGCTGCTCATGGCATTTGGCGACGCCCTCGCAACCACAGACGACCTCGCAGACGTGCGCCACCCATACATGAGCACGCATGCACACATGACCACGGGTGCAACTGCACATGCATACATGTACAAACGCATCCGCGCAATTGCACATGTGCGCATTCGCTTGCGCACTATTCACACTTTACACACTTTTCACACTTTACACGCACACACACACACACACACACACACACACACACACACACACACACACACACACACACACACACACACACACACACACACACACACACACACACACACACACAGGAGGAGCTGAAGGCTGCTGGCGGGCTGACGTCAGACGCAATCAAGGAGAACCTTGCGCAACTGCAGTTTGTGCGGGCGTATCTGGAGTTTCACCGGCTGCAGCACACGCTCGACCGCAACCTGGCGATGATTTCGCGGTGCATGCGGGCATACACGGGCGAGGACGACGGCAGCCGTCCAGAGGATATTGTTCGCCTCTTCGATCTCGCAGCACAGGTGCGCTGTCTGTGTGTGCTTGTGTGCTTCTGTGAGGTTTTGTGTAAGCTTGTGTGTATGTGTGTGTGAGGTTGTGTCTGTCTGTCTGTCTGTCTGTCTGTGCGCGCGCGAAGGCCCTTGTAAGGTTTCGTCCCCATGCGCCGTTTAAGTGATGCTCCCCTTTGCACTTCACTCAATCACCTTCACTACGACCACCACCACGACGCGTGCCCGCTTCATACCGCCGCCACATCTCCCCCGGCTTCAGTCGCTGGACGAGATGCTCGAGGTTGAGTTTGCCGAGGAGGACGACGCCTTTGTTGCCCGCGCAGACGCCTACAAGCCATACTTCCGCGCCATGCGGTAATCCCACCCAGCGCCGCCTCGTCCGGTCTTGTTGTATCTTGTGTGTGTGTGTGTGTGTGTGTGTGTGTGTGTGTGTGTGTGTGTGTGTGTGTGTGTGTGTGTGTGTGTGTGTGTGTGTGGAGGTCTCTCTGTATGTTCTCTGTGTGTGTGTGTGTGTGTCTATGTGCACCGCGTCGCCCTGTGTGTCTTCTGCTACGTCGTGTCGTTTTGCATCCACTCACCCATGCGACTTCCCTCCGCCCCTCATCCTCTTGATCCTCAGCTGCTTCTACATTGCGGAGTCCTTCCGCCTTCTCGGAAAGGTGTGTTCGTACGCACACAACAATGCCTGCAAGCAATGCTCAACTGCGACAACACTTCATCACCACGCACATGCACGTCATTCGTTCGCAATACAAATGTGCACGAACAACTTCCCTCTCACCCACTCCCCCTTGCCACTCTCCCTTGCCCCACCTGTCGCCCACCCCTCGCTTCCACACCAGCTGCGCGAAGCGCTGGCGATGTTTGACCGCGCGTCCGAAGTTGCTGCCGTCGCGCGAACAAAACTCCAGGCCCAGCCCGCAGAGTTTGCAGAGGTGGGCGACAACACGCACGTACATGAACACATGTATGCGTGACGGCATGTGTGTACGGCATTGCTTGCAGTCGAGGAGGTTCCTTGCATGCGCCCACAACGCTGAGATGCGTTGTTTTCGCACACACACACGCACACACACACACACACGCACACACACACACACACAACACACGCACACACACGAGCAAGTGTAACATCTCTTCGTACCTCCCAACTCAACTCCCCGTTCTATACCACCACCACCACCACCACCATCACCGTGGCCACAGCCGCTGCTGGCTGCGCTGGACAGCGTGCAGGTGCGCATGCGAGCGGTGCGCGTGGGCATGCAGGCCGGCGCATTCCTCCAGGCGTCGCGGCGCCAAGAGGACGAAAGCGCCGCTAGGACGGACGAGGAGGGGGCGGTGCCCGACGACGACGCAGACCGCCTCGCTGACGTGGTGCGCTGCATATTGTTCTTGTTGCTCTTGTTGCTCTTGTTGTTGGTTTTGTTGTTGTTGTTCTTGTTGGTTTTGTTTTGTTTTTGTCCTTGTTTGTGTGTGGTGTAACCGTGTGTAGTTCCTGCCTGCCTGCCACTGATTCCCTTGTTGCCTTTGCCCTCATCATCGCCTCACCCTCATCCCTCCCCCAACCAATACCTTGCTTCTTGTGTCGCCAGCCGCTGTCTGAGACGATCAACACGCTGGACACGTCTGCAGCCGTCCTCAAGCGCCCGCTGCTGCAGTTCCCGCCAGAGTTCCAGGTGAGCACGCGCCTTGCTCATGCCCCTACCCCTATGTGTGCCGTCTGTTTCAGTTTGCACGAAAACAGTGACACGGCAGTAACAACAAGGAGCACACATACACACGCTCACACACTCACTCACTCACGCACACGCACTCACAATCCTTCCCTCCTTTCTCACAATCCCTCACCCCCTCGCGTCAGGCAATGTCGTGCAAGCCGCTGTTCTTCGACATGGGCAGCAGCCATCTTGCCTTCCCCAACGTTGGCGACCGCACCCAATCCCAGACCGAGGCAACCGTCAGCGCCGTCACAAGCATGTTCTCATCGTGGTGGGGCGGCAACAAGTCCGATGCGTAAAGACCGTGGTGTCGTGATGTAATGGCACGTGAAGTTGTTGCTGTTGTTGTTGTTGGTGGTGGTGGTGGTGGTGGTGG